AGTAAATGAAGGCAGGTGCAGTAGTGCGTGTCTGTAGTCCCAGCTACTCAGAAGGCTGAGACAGAAGGATTGCTTGAGCCCAGGAGTTTGAGGCCAGCCCAGGCAACACAGTGAGCCCCTGGCTGTATTGCCTAAAAAATAATAATAAATAAAAATAAAAAATAAAAATAAAAAGTTAATGAATGAGTGAACGTGTCAATTTAACCGATCCTGTGTCCATTTCAATACTCAGTTACCTAGATTGTAGGTGACCTGAGCTCTCCTGGGTTAAGATGCCCTGCATTCCTCCAGAGAGTGAGGTTTGTCTGGCAGTGGTCCCCATCCCATCTCCCAGGCTGAAATGTGAGTCGAATGGATCCTGGTAGCCTCGTCTCCACTCCAGAGGCCTGCAGCAGGACTGGGAGGAGGGGGAGACAGGCAGGCGCCCAGGGCACAGGGTTGAAGGATGCTGAGAGCAGTTGCCCTGCTCCGGTCCCCGTGGAGCTTGTCACCATGGCCGGTGGGCTGGGAAGGATGGACTCATAGACTCACATTGGGAGGGTGCAGGGAGCGGCAGGGAAGGGGACGGCTCAGCCAGCGGACCCTGAGGAGAGCTGAGCTTGGTTGGGGCCATGCGAATAAACTCCTGGGGTTCAACCCTGGGTGGCAGTGTGCTGGGGCCACCTGACTGACGGACATTGAGCCCCAGGGGTGAGGGCACCTGGAGCAGATTCCCACTGGGATTAGACTCCAAGTGGGGTTGGGAACAGAGGCAGGGGAGGGACCAGGAGTTTGAGGAGGAGAAGGTGCTCAGGTGTGTGCCATCTTTTCAGCTGTCTGCACCTCGGTCTCCCCACCTGTTAGGCGGGGACAGGGCGGGGGCGGTAATGAGCCCACAGCATTGCTGGGATTAAACGAGCTTCCAGAGCAACTCACTGCACACAGGGCTGGCACAAAGAGCATGCTCTATAAATGGGGGCTCTTGCTACTCCCCCAGGAGGCACCCCGCTCCTGGATGACTTCTGCTTTGGGGAACGCTGGGTCAGAATTCCTACTGCAAGTGGGTTCAAGTTGGTGGTGGGTGGTGGTGCCTGCTGGGGTCAGGGGTGACCTGGGCTCTGGCCTCTCCCTCTTGGGAGCCAAGATGTAGAGAGAGCACCAATTGTTAACAACATCGTGTGAGGCTGCACTGTGAGACCAGCCACACACTCATTCCGAGGCTTACTGGTGCTGGGGACGCAGCAGTGCACAAGGCAGGCCACCAAGGCCACCAGGACGGTAAGAAAATTGTAAATCAGGATGCCTCAAGAGACCAGGATAGGGATCAAGGGCAACCTGACCCAACTGGAGAAGTCAAAGCAGACTTCCTTGAGGAAGCACCTCTACGTTGAGTTCACTGGCAAAGGTCAGGGTAAGGAGCTGTTGCATAGGGAGAAAGCCCTTGCCTTGCCTCAGGACAAAAACGGAGCGGACATTGGGACACGGCCCTTCATCTTCTCACTGTCTCCCTTAGTTCCCTATATTGGCCCCCAATGCATCAGACCTCCTGTTCTTCACACCCTTATGAAGTCCCCTCCCACACTGACTCTGGGCTTTGGATATTTGGCCAAAATGCCCCATTATAGTAAGTGTGATGCAGAGGCTTTATGAGCACATGCACATTGGGGCTTGTCTCTGGAAACACTCCTTTTTTTTTTTTTTTAAGATGGAGTCTTGCTCTGTCGCCCAGGCTGGAGTGCAGTGGTGCGATCTTGACTCACTGCAACCTCCGCCTCCCGGGTTCACGCCATTCTCCTGCCTCAGTCTCCTGAGTAGCTGGGACTACAGGTGCCTACCTAATTTTTTTAGTAAAGACGAGATTTCACTGTGTTAGCCAGGATGGTGTTGATCTCCTGACCTCATGATCCGCCTACCTCGGCCTCCAAAGTGCTGGGATTACAGGCATGAGCCACCGTGCCCGGGCTTTTTTTTTAGTTGGAGTTTCACTCTGTTGCCCAGGCTGGAGTGCAGTGGCGCGATCTCGGCTCACTGCAACCTCTGCCTCCGGGGTTCAAGTGATTCTCCTGCCTCAGCCTCCCAAGTAGCTGCTGGGACTACAGTTGCCCGCCACCATGCCTGGCTAATTTTTTGTATTTTTAGTAGAGACAGGGTTTCACCATGTTAACTAGGATGGTCTCTGTCTCCTGACCTTGTGATCTGCCTGCCTTGGGCCTCCCAAAGTGCTGGGATTACAGGCGTGAGCCACTGCGCCTGGCCTGGAAACAGTCCTTAGAAACCAGTCAACATGCTGTGAGGAAGCCCAAGCTGCCATGTGGCAAGGCCCTGCCAAGCATTCATGCTGGGCCACAGCACCTGCCAGCCATATGAGGGAGGCCATTTTGGACTCTGGGAAAGTCATCTTAGTGGCCCAGCCACCAAGGAGGGAGCAGAAGAATAGCTGGTCAAATCGTAGAATCATGAGAAATAATAAATGCTTGTTGCTTTAAGCAATGAAGTTTTGGAGTGATTTGTTACGTAGTAGTAAATAGCGCAAACGTTTTTCTGCCCCAAGTCCAATTATTTCCTGTGCCCAGAGCCCCTCTAGCGGCATGAGGAAGACCTGTTCAGTTCTGCCCTGAAACTTGCTGTGGCTGGCTCCTACCAAGCTCTTTCCAATATCAGAACATATCCTCCGGCCCCAAACCGCCTTCACCGGCTGATGCCCTGTGAGGGTCTCTGGGTCAGACAGGACTGGGGTTTGCAAGTGAGGGATGAGGCACAGCTGTCCCTGGCCACCAAGGAGAGCCAAGCACAGGAATGTTCCCCAGGCAGGTCTAAGGTTCGTGTGGTGGCATCTTGGGTCAGAGTGTAATCTGTCTGCTGGGAGCATGGTCTTGTTTGAGCAACCTCCTTGCCTCCCTGCCTTCTTTACACATCTATTGAGCACCTACTGTGGGCCCTTCCTCCCGGAGGTGCGAGGGGAGACAGTAGAAGTGATGAGGTCACTGTCCTGGTCCTTGGGGTTCCACAGATGGGTGGGGGAGAAAGCCCAGATGTGACCAGTCACACTCAAGGTATCAAGTGCTGCGAGAGCAGTGGGGGTGTCCACAAACGCCTCTGGGAGTAGGGGTGTCCCAGCTGTTGGGCACAGAAGAGGGGCCTGGCATCTGCAAAGACTGCATTGTGACCAGGGATGAAACTGGAGCACCGGCCTGTGGGGGTGGGGTGTGCTGGGTGGTGAGGAGCCTCGAGTGCCAGAGCGAGAGCACCCTGGGACCTAGCCCTGGGGAGCCAGGAAGTGACAGGAGAGGACCTGCCTCAGGTAAACGTGTCCAGCAGAAGAGACAGATGAATGGAAGGACACACAACGGACAGAGAACAGGGAAGGGTCCGGGGAAACAGGGAGGAGGGAAAAGGCATTTCAGCAGCACTTGGATGTAGTCACCGTGGTCACTTGCTGTGCCTTGGCTGCAGGGGGCTGCTTGCCTGGGCCCGCAGGACCAGACCAACAGAAAGTGCCTCTGTCCAGGATTCTTACTGCCCGATGCTGGGAATGAAGGAAATGTCTTCATTAAATCATCAAAGTGAGGGTGCGCAAACCACTCTGAAGCGATTCTGACTGAGAAGATGCTGCATCAACTTGGGGTGGGGGGACAACTGAGCCCCTTGCGTTTCCCTGGCAACCTTATTCTTCTGTCCTCCCAGGCCAACTATCAAAGTTGGAGAAGCCACAGCTGTCAGTCAGCATGCGCGGGAATCAGTTGGCACATTGCCGGAGGTAATAAGAGGATTTAATCAAGGACCATTTACATAATGTATGTGAGGCAGTGCAGCTCTAGCTCAGAAGCTGGCAACAGCTGGACACCACCCCCTGTGCCCCCCGTAAACACATCCTGGAGGCCTGAGGGGCAAGGGAAGGGAGCTGTGGAGAACGACAGTCCACCATGGCCAGGTTCTCCTGTCCTGTGAAGCTTATGCCCAGTGAACCTGGTCTTCCTAATGGACCCCAATGCTGTCTGCCCGACCACAGGCTGCACTCAGTGGACGAGGCTGGGGGCCACAGTCCAGAGGCCTTCCTGAGTATGCGAAGCTATAACTACAAGAACGGCCATTGCAGCACCATCGGTAAGAGCTAAAAGCTGGACACAAGCCGGATGGCCTGCGAATGGGAAGGGTCAAATGAACTGCGATCCGCCCACATGAAGGAAAACTGGGCGCTGCTACAGGAAGGAGGCTCTTCGTGTGCCAACAGGGAGAGGGCTCAGCGCCAGCTCCCTAGGAAGGCAGGCTGCCAGTGAGTATGTCCAGAAGGAGGTCACTCTGGTAAAAACAACAAACAAGCCATCAACACTGGCTGTGCAGGCAAAGGCGCAGAGTTCAGAAGCAATTGTCCCGACTGTTAGCAGAGCTTACTTCAGGGGTGCAGCCAACATGGTGGGGGGCTTCCACTTTGTATTTTATATGCTTTGTACTGTCTTTGTTCACACTAAACATACAACCCCTTTAAAAGTCATTTATGGAGGCTGGGCAAGGTGGCTCACGCCTGTAATCCCAGCACTTTGGGAGGCCGAGGCGGGTGGATCATGAGGTCAAGAGATCGAGACCATCCTGGATAACACAGTGAAACCCCGTCTCTACTAAAAATATAAAAAATTAGCCGGGCGTGGTGGCCGGCACCTGTAGTCCCAGCTACTCAGGATGCTGAGGCAGGAGAATGGCGTGAACCCGGGAGGCGGAGCTTGCAGTGAGCTGAGATGGTGCCACTGCACTCCAGCCTGGGCGACAGAGCAAGACTCTGTCTCAAGAAAAGCAAATAAAATAAAAATAAATAAATACAAGTTATTTATGGCCAGGCATGGTGGCTCACACCTGTAATCCCACCACTTTGGGAAGCTGAGGCGGGCGGATCACCTGAGGTCAGGAGTTTGAGAGCAGCCTGACCAACATAGTGAAACTCCAAATTAGCCAGGCGTGGTGGCACATGCCTGTCATCCCAGCTACATGGGAGGCTAAGGCAGGAGAATCACTTGAACCCAGGAGGCAGAAGTTGCAATGAGCCAAGATGGCACCATTGCACTCCAGCCTGGGCAACGAGGGCAAAACTCCATCTCAAAAAAAAAAAAAAGTCATTTATATAAAAATGTGCAAAAAATATGTCCAAGGGAGAATGAACAGAAAAAGATGCCAGTGTTCTTCCCTAACTGGTATTTGGCAATCGCTGAGCTGAACATTTACAGGGCAGCTGCAGTGTGCCAGGCCCTAGGAGAATGGCACTGATCAGAAGCCTGCCCGCAAGGTGCTCACCATCTACGGGAAGCAACAGCACGGGGTGGGTGGGACGAGTGGGCATAGCCAGGCAACAGGAGCATGGGGCGGTGGGGCTGGTTCATAGCTGTGAGAAGATTCCATGGACAAGCATACTGGGCAGAGACGCTGGGCAAGGTGTTGAGTATTTCCACCTGCTCTGCGTGTGCAGGGGGAGGCCGTGTCGGAGATGGGAACATGCTGGACTCGGCAGGGCCTCTGAAGTCCTCCAAAGATGCATGGACACCATTACAAAGGTCCTAAGAGATGTGCAGGCCAATGAGAGAGGGATGGAGAGGCAGCAGTGGGCATAGGCCCAGTTTGAGTGCCAGAGGTGGGCAGTGCCACGTTCAAGGGCTGCAGAGTGAGTTACCCTAGGACAGCTGTGCAGCCTTCCTCCCGCAGCACACACGTAAATGCACTGTCCAGGTGGGCCAGAAAGGCCTGAGTGGTTGTTCTGCACATCCTGGCCCACTGACCAGGAGGGCAGGACCTAGGGATCTCAGAGGTGCCAGAGACAACCCTTCAGCCAGAATAGGTCTAAGAGACTTTGTCCATTGTCCTCCAGAGGTGCTGGTCTTCCCCGGAACCTTGAGCATCCGGGGCAGAAGGACAGTGAGGCCTGAAGCTCTGACACCCAGAACTGTAAGTCCTGGTGACAAGAGAAAACTCCCAGGGGGAATGGCATGTGGCCTCTCCCTCAGATGCTGACTTTGACAAGTCCATGTTGCCTGGAACACTGTGATGGATCCTGGGGACACATCCAAGATCACTGGGAAAGAGTGCAGGATTGACTGCTGGTGTGAGCCATGGCCGAGGGGTATAGACCAGTGCAGGAGTTTGCAGTTCTGAGGCCTCTTGAGGCCAAAGGTGACTGATGACCCTGCAAATGGACTGGCCTTTCAGGGGACCACCACAGTGCCTGCACTGGCCTGGTGGTGTGGGGCTCCCAGGCAGCCAGCAGGGGCCTTTTCTAGCGCCCAACCTGCAACAGAGAAGTGACTGTGCCCTGGGGCTGAGTGCAGTGGATGGGTGGAGGGACTGGAACTACAGCTTGAGGGCAGACCCACTGCAGAGCTCGGGCTCCAGTCTCCGCTCCAGTCACAGAAGTTCCCGTCCGTGTGCGTGCAGGGAGCAGAGGCCTTCCACGCAGGCCCCAGCTAGCAGCAGCCCAGGCTGGAGGGCCTCTTGCTTTCCTGGGTCTCAGGTGGACTCCCTTCCATTCCTATAAGGAGGTGAGAAGTAATTTAGCATCAAACAAGAATCCTGTAGCTGACACTGGGCAGGGGATGCCGGCCCTGAGAGTCAGAGCTGTGAGCTGAAGCTCCTGGCCCTGTTGTTCAAGGCCTGAATGACTTGACACAGGACAAGAGGCTGAGGGGTATTCCAGGCACTGGAACAGAGTGGGCAAAGTTGCAGACTGGGAAAGCCGGGGCCAGGACACATCTGCAGGGCCTGGGATGCCCAGCCCGGGCCATGAGAACCAAATGGATGCCCATGAGGTCCATGTGTCAGGAGACCAGGGAGAGCTAGGGACAGGCTCTCACCTGGCAGGTGGGATCAGGGAGGCTACAGGCCCAAGGCTGCAATGACACCCTGAGAGGAGAATCAAGGGATAGGAGAGGGCCACAAGTTCAGAAAATGGGAGGGTCTTGGGTGACAGGAGGATGGTGCATGTGGATTTTAGGCCTCCAGTCTGCTCCCCAGCCCAACCTAGCCACATCTATACGCACGGATTAGTTCTCCATCGCCGACCTGGAGCCGGGCACTGCTCTGCCTCTCCAGGTCCTGCAGCACCGACTGCTCGAATGCCAGGGCGGCTACACGGCTGAAGAATGCCTTCACGTTCTCGCCTGTGGGCTCACAAGACAGCCAGGACCTCATCAGTGTTTGTCCTTGCCCCTTAATGCATCTGGGTGTGAAAGCCAGGCCAGCCCACCTTCAGGTTGGCACGTAGCCCTTTCTAGAGCACCCTGACAGTAACAGTGACCACAGGAGGGCACAGCCCCACCCAGTCACATGGACAGCACAATGCCGGGGCAGGGCCCACTGGCCTGGCTTCCCACCTGGCTCCAGCCTCCCCACTCCCACCCCACTGCCTACTTGGGCCACTCCCTCAAACTTCTGAGCCTTTGCTTCCCAGCATCTCCTCTTCCAATCAGATGCTAATATGGCCCAGGTGTTGGAACATGTGGAACTCAGGACAGACATATGCCTGCCCTCCTGTCACTTTCCATACCTGTCCGGTGGGGCTGTGAGGATTGAATTGCTGTCAGCCCCCACACGGAGCCTTTATGCATCCTCCTCCAGGTAGAGGTGGCTGCTCATCAGAGAGCAGGCCAGTTTCCAGCCCTTAACATGCACACTGCCCTTGTGCAGCCAGCAACCTGCACAACCGCACAGGGCAGTTCTGCTTTGCCCATAGTGAGCTGTTGGTGAACTTACTGTTACTCTGATAAAGGAGGGAGGGTCTCACAGAGCAGTTCTCACTGTCAGGAAGGAGCAGTGGAAGACACTGCCAGTTGTTTGTGTTGGACGGGAAGTGGTGCTTCTACTTGTGACGCCAACCCTCAGTGCTCACCCAGTCTCCGACTAGATATCTGCTGTCCCCTTTTACACAGGGTAAAGACTACTGGGCCCAATTCCTGAGTCCCCAGAGCCTTGGGGGCCTATTATGTGCCAGGCCCTGTGTATGACTTCATTTCATCCCCCAACAACCTGTGTTTTCCATCTGCTCTTTGTGTCTTTGGATTTTCTGTTTTCCTCAGTAAATACACATGGCTTTTGTAATTTAAAACGTTTTTTCACAAAAAAGGGAGATGGATGGCATCACCTGCTTCCCAGATGAGGAGATGGAGGTTCAAAGATGCTGGGCATCTTGCCTTGGGCTGGGGGCCCAGTATGGCCAGGGATAGACCCGGTGGGCAGTGCGTTCAGTGAGAGCTGGGGTCTGTGAGCCACAGTGATACTGGAAGGTGTGGAGCCCCTGTCACTGGGCCCTTCTCTATGCCAGATGATGTCACATGCCTGGCATTTCAGGGCCGGAGGCAGGACAGTGCAGTGGTTACAGGTGAGAGTGTGTTTGGATCCTGGTCCTGCCACCCTGTGACCCTGGAAGTTACTTCACAGGCATAAAGTGGAACCTCCCTCATGAGTAGTTATGGGGTTGCCTTGGAGAACGGGCCAGCACGGCAAGACACAGGGTTGGAGTCACTATTCCCCATCTGTGGGGCAGGTCTCCCAGCCTCCTTCTAGAGATGAGGCAGCTCCTCTTAGGCAATGAAAGGCGCTGCCAGGCACCAGCACAGCAGGGCTGTGATGCCAGTGTGCACAGGGCCACAGAGGGAAGAGACGGCTGGCTGCAGAGGGAAATGCTGCATGGCAGGCCCCATGGGACTGGCCTGAGAGCCGGGCTCTGCCCCACCATGCTGACAGCCCCGGCCCACTCACCGGTCTTGGCCGACACCGACCAGTACTCGGCCTGCATCTCCTTGGCCAGGTGCACGGCCTCTGCTTCGACCTGCTCACATGCCGCTCCTGACTGAGAGAAACAGCCCTTGTTGACCCAGCGTCCAGGGCTCTCTTGCAGGGAGGCCCCGGGGGATAGGCCGCTGCCTGCTTCCCACTGTGCCGCCTCCCTCCCCCGCCATGGCTCCTCCAATGAGGGCTGAAAGGGAAGGCATTTTCCCAGGGGCCACCCAGACCTCCAGTGCCACTCTGCTCACCAGAAGGTCCTTCTTGGTTCCCACGAGGAAGATGAAGCAGGAGCCCGCCTCGTTCTCCCTCAGAGCATCTTCCAGCCACTGCCTGGAGTGCAAGGGGGAGAGGCTGAGAGATTCACCCATCCTCCCACCCCAAACAGGGGGCAGAGAGCACACTTGGGACCTCCCCAGGGCTGGGGTGCTGGGCTGGGAGGTACAAGGAGGGCTTCCTGGCCCACACTGGCTGAGAGGATGCTGCACCTCCAGCCAGAAGGGCCTTAGCTGGACCCAAAGGGGTGGGAATACCAGAGCCCTGGCTGGAGGTGGTGAAGACCCCTCCTGGCCCCCTCTGGCCTCTCCCGGTGAGACCTTGCATGAGTCCTGCACGTTTATCAACTAGAACTGTCACCCCCGCCTCCCTCACGGGGTTTGGAAGATGCTGGGTGCGAATGCCCCAGACCAAGGTAAGGCGAAAGGGCTTTGCTCCAGTAGCTGGCCAATTCCCAGCAGAAGTGGATGGCCTCTTGAATGGGTCACCTTGTCAATTCTCTCTTCTCGAGACTGCAAGTGCCAAATTCATGTCCCTTCAAAGACTGGCGATACAGTTTTCAGGGCTCAGAGTGAACTGAACATGTGAGGCACCTCATTCAAAAAGTATCAGGACTTGCAACATGGCAAAGGCAGAGTATTGAAGCAGGCTGGGGCCCCTCTGAGCACGCGCCTGGGGCGGCTGTGCTGGGCTCACACTCATGTGCTGACCCCTCCAGAATAAATGGGGACAAATCTCTAGGGTTAAAGGCAGCTGGACAGTAAGTGGCCCATGGGCAGCTGGTTCTGACAAGGGGCCCAGTCACTTACACCCACTATGGGGTCAGGGTCCACTGGCCGGGCTCTGGGAGCCCTTCCTGGCAGCTCCCTGAGCCCAGGGAGACTGCAGGGGCCACAGAGCCCAGACTTACCTGGTGTGCTCCAGGGTCTGCACGTCAGTGAGGTCAAAGGCCGTGATGATCACTGGACACTCGGAAAAAGCCAACAGCCAATCAGTGCCAGGTGAGGCGGGCAAGGGGGCTCCCCAAGAGGTGCCCAGCTCCCAAGGAACAGCCAGGGCAGCCCCCCAGGCACTCAGCACCGGAACCTCCTACAGTGGAGGCTGAGGAGGAGATACCCCATGGCTGTCCCCCACCAGGACCCTCCAGCCTGCACCCGGCAGCCCAGCCTCAGTGTGGGATCCAGGGAGGCAGGACAAGGTGGGCATGGAGTGAGCGCATGGGCTTTAGCATCAGACACCCTCTGCCACTTATGGCGAAGGGAGCTCAGGTGAGGGCCTTAACTGCTGAGAGCCTCAGTTTCCCCATCTGTAAAATGGTGAGGATGAGACCTCTAGCTCTCAGGGTTGCTGTGAGGATTAAACAAGAGCAGCCATTTTAAAAAGCTGTTAGTCCAGGGCCCGATACAGGGCCAGTGGCAGCTACAGCAGTGATGGTTTGCAACAACCCACTTTAGCGAAACAACTTCCGGGGAACCAGGTGGGCAGAAAACCGGCAGATGCAGCCCGGGTCCTTAGCTCCTCTCATCACTGGCTGCACCCCGGTCCTGTTGGGGTCCTGAGGGGACCCCCATGTGGAGGACATTACAGGCAAATGCTCTCTACTGCCCCCAGGGGTGTGACCAGGGCCAGACAGGGGCTTCCTCTGCACCTTGGCTTAAGGCTTCAGGGAGACCCACACCCCTTCCAAGGCAGGTGGGAAGAGAAAGGAAGGGGAAAACTGAGGATAGGGATGACAGCAGCCAGGCTGCCATGTGTAGAGGTGGGCCAGGCGCCTCGCACCTCTTATTCCCAGGGGAGAAGCATCCTGTCGAGAAGAGAGGCCCGAAGAGGCAAAGGGCGCAGGAGGCCATGCGGCCAGGGCAGAGCTGGAGCTCCAACCCATAGCTGAGGGCTGCATGGTTTGTTCCTATTTTTGCTTCTTTTAAGTCTAAAATAAAATGTTGTAACTTTTTCACCACTACCGAGTAGACATAACGGTGCCTTATAATTTGAGTCTGGTTTTGGATACTTTTGAGGTTCTCTCACATCTCCCACTGAAATCCATTTCTGTCTTCTTCCTGGGAAGGTGGGGTAGGCGATAGGAGCTTATGCTGCCGCCCCCTGCTGATGGTGAGCCCTGCCCAGCACCACCTGGCTGCCCTTGGCCATGGAAGTGGTGGGCACCCAGCTCTGCTGGCCCCCACGTGGGACCTGCCAGTCCTCCCGAGGTCCCCCTTTCACTCCTCCTCCCTGGCCCAGCCCCCTCTGCTAAGACAAGACAAGCCTCCTCCCACCTGCCCCTGGAGTCCAGCGCTACCCTTCTCTGAGCCTCTGGAAAAGCACTTTCATCTCTGAGCATCTTTATGAGCTGAAACTGGGGTGAGACTTAAAGCCAGCACCCACTACCACAGGGTCCTTAAAGGGTGTGATCGCCAAGGTCAGCCAGGGCCTGGGGATGAAGGCAGCTTCCCTGTTCCCAAGTAGTGGCCTGGGGGTTTTCTCAGTGGGTCTCGGAGGACAGAAAACAGGTGCCTGTGCAGAGAACTTGGGATTCCCACTGTGGAGCCTGGCAGAGACCCCGCTGCTGCACGCGGTTGAGAGCCCCGACGTGGCATGTTGCTCACCCTGGGCGCCCCGGTAGTAGGCAGATGCGATGCACTTGAACTTCTCCTGCCCAGCTGTGTCCCAGCTGTGAGGTGGGTGAGAAAGAAAGGGAAATGATGTCAGGTTACACAATCACAGTGTCTTGAGCCAACAGATTACAGGACCATGGGTGGGAGACCCTAAGGGCCTCTGCCAACTGCATGGGCTTCAGGAAGTGCCTGTTGTGAGCCAGCTGTCCCTACCCCCAGCTCCTTATGATCCCTTCCTAGGGTGCCCCCAGTGGACTTCTCTCATTCCTAGTGGAGAAGGGTGTGGCATTAGTTGTTCTGCTGCTTGGATGGATGGAGTTGCAGCTCACTCCCTTCTGAATGAGACATTAAAATGGAACATATGGCCCAAGACATGCCTCGCTCTGAAGATGTAGCAGTCCACTTGTAGAGAAGGCTCTGTGAATGGCACTGGGGCTCCAGGCTGGGCCTCCAGCAGTGGCTCTACCACTTGCTTGGGTGTGAGTGGGGCATTGCTTCACCTTCCACGCTGCAGGTCCCAAAGTAGGGGTTGGGGATACCTAACAGGGGAGCAACAGGTGGATCACAGCAGTTAACTCCAGCTCTTTGGAGCACAGTAGTGAGAAGAAATTAGAAGCTAAGCTCTGGCTCCATGGAAAGGAGTACAACAATCGATTAATGATGTCTGCCATGGGCACAGTCTAGAAGAGGGGAAAGAGCACCTAGTGAGATCCACCCGCCCTGGTTTAGAACAAAGCAGGGAGTCACTATGCAGGGTTGAGTCTGAAAATTCTTCCCCAATTCATTGCTTTTTAAGGTCAACAGATCAAAATTGAACTTTTCTCAATAAACTGCAAAGTAGACGAATCACAAACAAGACATCAATGGTCTGAATTTTTTTCTTTTTTCTTTTTTTGAGGTAGAGTTTCGCTCTTGTTGCCCAGGCTAGAGTAAAATGGCATGATCTTGGCTCACTGCAACCTCCGCCTCCCAGGTTCAAGCAATTCTCTTGCCTCAGCCTCCCAAGTTGGACCACTATGCCCGGCTAATTTTGTATTTTTAGTAGAGATGAGGTTTCTCCATGTTGATCAGGCTGGTCTCAAACTCCAGACCGCCTTGGCCTCCCAAAGTGCTGGGATTACAGGTATAAGCCACCATGCCTGGCCATGGTCTGAATTTTTTTCAAGTGATCCAGCATGACACTGAAGGTTTGGTCTTCATTCTTTCATTAATTCATTCATATTTTCTTTCATATCTGAAGACTCTGGGGGAGGAGCTGGTGGTGGTGGCCTAGAGATGAGCCTGTGGGGAGGCTGGCGAAGGCCTCAATGTAAGACAATGAGAGGCTGAGCCAGGGCAGTGTCCCTGTTTCGTTCAGGGCCCTCTAATGAGATATGGCCTGTGGTCACACGGGTGAGCCCAGCCCCTAGCCAGTCTTTCCCGGCTCCGCCTGGGCTACCCCTACCAGTCCTTTGCTCTTCTCAGCTCTCTGGATCCCTCAGTCCTGCAGCCTTGTGTTCTCCCAGCCTCCTTTGCCCTTGACTGACCTGTACTCTCCCTTGGGCGAGATTTGTTATCCTCCATCTCCAGGGCTTTGCTGGGGCTGTGGAAGTTCTGAGAGAAGGGGGCACTATCTTGACAGAGTTATGAGCTGACATCCATACGATCTGAAGGCTCAGTCCAGGCAGGGCATGGAGGATTGAGGAACCAACTCAGGCACCAGGAAGGAGCTTGGTGAATGCCAGCAGGCAAGTGGAGATGAAGTGGAGATGGGGGGCAGGGCCAGCCATGTAGGGGAACATGGAAGGGTCTCACAGGAGAGTAGAGGTGAGGGCCCGGGCCCAGGCAGGCCTGCAGCATTCTCCAGGTGCTGGGGCAGAGGGAAGCTGCCCAGCTGGGGTGGGAGAGGGTAAGCCCTGGGCCACTCAGAAGGAAGGCAGAAGAAAGGGCTGAGGCCAGTAGGGGCCATCGAGAGTCAGACTCCCAGGGCCTAGCAAGGAAGACAAACAGAAGTGGGCTGGGCATGGTGGCTCACACCTGTAATCCCAGCACTTTGGGAGGCTGAAGCGGGTGGATCACTTGAGGTCAGGAGTTTGAGATCAGCCTAGCCAACATGATGAAACCCTGTCCCTACTGAAAATACAAAAACAAATTAGTTGGGTGTGGGGGTGCACACCTGTAGTCCTATTTGGGAGGCTGAGGCAGGAGAATCGCTTGAAGTGGAGGTGGCAGTGAACGAGATTGCGCCACTGCACTCCAGCCTGGGTAACAGTGCAAGACTCTATCTCAAAAAAAAAGACAGAAGTGGAAGGAAAGCAAGGCAGGGGAGGGGGAGTGAAGGCTTCAGTGTGAGGAGGAAGATGAATGCCTCAGACCTGAGGAAGGATGTGGTGCTGTGGACTCCATCTCAGCCCTCCTTGCCCAAGCCTGGCACGCAGGGACTGGATTTGACCCCATTTTACAGGTGGGAACAGAGGCTCAGAGCTCAGAAGCGACCTGCTGGAGGCCACTCTGCTGGCCTGGTGAGTGGGATCACAGGAGGCCCAGGTCAGGGAGGGACTGGAGCCAGGGCCTCGAGAGGAGCAGGGTGGGGATTGGGGAGGTCATGGGCAGGTGAGCAGGTCAGGCTGTGGGCATCTTCCCCAGAGCCAGTGACCAAAATGAGACAACTTTGGGACTGACGGAGCACTGGGGGTTCTGGGAGCTGGGAAGCTGAGTGTCACACAACACCCCCAGGCTCTGCTTGTCTAGACCAGTCCTCCTTGACATGGACACAGTGCAGGAGCTCCCCAAATCCTTTCTTAGGTGCCCCTAGGAAGCCGCCCACGAGTCATGGGGGAAACAGCGACTTACATCTGGAGGCTATAGGGAATTCCAGCAATCTCAAAGCGCTCAATTTCAAAGTCCACCCCAATGGTGGCCTTGTAGTCTCGGTCAAAAACGTTCTTGCAAAACCTGTGGGGGATAAGGAAGTCGTCACAGGGGGTGTACTCACAGAAATGTGCCCGGAAGCTTCACTTGTGACAGTGAAGGTCTTTAGGCAAATAAGGTCCACTTCCCATCAGGAAGTGATGGTCCACACAGGCCACGGGTGGGCAGGGCAGCCAGCGAGGACAAGGTGGGGAAAGGGAGGCTGCAGGAGCTCGGAAGGCAAGCTGCGAGTTAGAAACTGAACGAAACTGAGCAGCCATTTGCAGGGAGGGCAGTAGAGGGGAGAGCCCTGGCCCCAGGGGGACAGTCTGACAAGCGCCAGGTTCCTGGGACGCCACAATGTCTGCCCAGCCCTGCCATCTCCCCGATTTCTTGTACCCCCTCTTATCTGGCTCCCAGCAGGTTGAGGCCCGGCAGTTCCTGGAAACCACATGGTTTCCACTATGTTGATACTATCTGGGCCACCCAGGCAAAGGTATGACAACCTGGTGCTGGGGGAGGTGGCCGACGGGGCAGAGGAAGCCTTGTACCTGTGGATGAGGCTGGTCTTCCCCACGTAGAGATCGCCAACCACCACCACCTTGGAGAGTTTGAGCCTGTGAGAAATATGGCCGTGTTGCCCTCGGGCATGCCTTCCAGGGTGTCTTCACACTCACAGCCCCTTCCTTCCTTGAGCTCTCTGCTGGTGAGACACCCCTCACTCCTGGACGCAGGATGGGCCACCCTGCCGAAACACTGTGTTCCCCTCCACACTCCCCAGAGGGGAGATGGGAGAGGCTGGGGACTCTGCTTCCCCTAGAGCTTCACCCCTCACCACATTTGGTCAAAGTCCCCATCCTGAGAATTAGGAATGGGCATAAAAAAAGGCCAAGTCACAGGAGGAGGGGGCAGAGGCAGGAGGCCAGGGTGCGGCTCTGGTAACCAACCAGTAGCCATGGGCATGTCTATGCTGTGGGGGAGCTGTGCTGAGGGTGCAGACACAGGGTCCACGTGCAGGGAGACCCCAGCACAAGGGACGGGCAGCCCCTCACCCTCCCATGCACCCCCTGGGGCTGTGCGCCCATGTGGGTTCTGGCCTCTTGCAAGCAGGCACTCCCTGACCATGACACCACCATGCCCTGCTCACTTAGAGGTATCCGTAAGGGTCAGACAGGCCAAGGGCACACCCTGAACAGGGCTCAGGCTCTATACATCTGGGCTGTGGCTTGAGGCCAATCGGCTCTGAGGTTCTTGGGCTCTCTGGGGGTCACTGCTCCCCAAGAGCAGCCGCCACCCTCACCCTTTGTGTGTGTCCTACACTCTGTGCAGAGGCGTTTCTCGGACTGTTTATTATTTTTTTAGAGACGGGGTCTCGCTGTGTTGCCTAGGCTAATCTCAAACTCCTGGACTTGAATGATCCTCCCACCTCAACCTCCTGAGTAACTGGGACTACAGGTACCATTGTTCCAGCTTCCCAGGACTGTTGACAACACCTTAAGAGTTTTTGCAGCTCATCCCAAAGGAGGCAAACGGTCACAGCAACCAACCTGGGTAAATATCTGACAGGCACTTCCTCTGCCTGCAAACAGCAAGAGGGCACCACTGTGTCACCTGGTGACCTGGGCTGCAGGTCACCTCGCCAGGTCCATGAGAGCAGGGACTGTGTCTACCCTGCTCCCAGAGGGCCCTTTCATTCTGACTCCATTTCTCCTATGAATGAGTAAAGGTATTGACAAGGTCTTGCAGCAGGTACCCTCTGATCCTCAGTCTCCCCACCTCCAGTGCTGCCATAGGGGTCAGGGAGATCATCTGCGTGAAGCACCTGATATGGCACCAGCATTCCCCAACAGATGCCACTACTCTCATTCCACCACCATGGCCACTTCGGCCATTCTGATCTCAGCTCTGCCTCACCCACTCTGCAGTTTGGTAACCTGCAGCTGTGCTCTGTGGCAGCCTCGTCGCACCTGTGTGACCCCTGTGAGCTCAGCCAACTCCCTGAGCAGACTATGAGCTCCTAAGGAAGAGGGGCAAAAGCAGGCCCTTGTACCTATTTGTTAAAAGAAGGAATGACTATTTCACAATCCCTGTGCCGGTGGTGGCAGGTGCTGCCACGGCAGGAACAGGGCAGACACAGCCCTCGCCCTCTTGGGCTAGGTCCAGTGAGGAATCCAGCCTGCAATTCTGTGAGATACGTTCTTGGGGGCACAAGAGCACCCAGGAAGGGTACTCTCCCCAGTCCAGGCTTGGGGGCAAGGGTAGTGGGGGGTCAGAGAAGCCTCCTAGAGGACTTGACACTTATGCTGAGACCTGAAGGGGAAGGGGAAGGGGAAGTGAGGGGATTAGGAAAGACATTTCAGACACAGGAAATGGACTTGTGCCAAGACCTCAGGCCGAAAAATCACCTGCGTGACTTAGAAGAGGGAAAGTTGTTCCATGTGGCAGGTGTGTTAACTGAAGCCAGATGAAAACCCCAGTCATCCTCAGGCCTGTACAGGGCTGCACCAGCCTCGTGTGTGTGTTTCACTTGCTCATTCCTTCACACGTGCATTCATGCACTCATTCCTTCCTGCCACCTGCTCCCCCATCCCACACCCTGCAGGCTCACCCGACAGTCCCCGTGTTTCTGCGTTGGCAGGCAGCGCTGACCTGCCTGTGGAAGTGCTCCCTGAGCTGCAAACAGGCTTCTGGCGTGTACCACTGCAAAGAGACAGACAGACACATCATCCTGCAAAGCTGCAGCTCCTTCCCTGTAGCGAAGCAGTGAGGGGAGACGGTCTTCCCAGCCTTCCTTCCTAGGCCTCACAGCTGGCAGCCTCAATAGCTTTCCCTGACCCACCTGTCATGTGTATCCTCTATTTCTTCAGCCTTGAGGCTCTGGGGCCTCGTGAGTCCAGAGGGGCGAGCCGAGGCAGAGACTCGGAGATCTGGGTCTCACCTGGGGTCGTGGTCCCCTTGCTGCATGCATGTGACAGGCCTCTGTCTGCTCTGGGCCTCAACCCTCTCAAGTGGAAAGGAGTGGAGCTCTTTTGGTGCCCAGATCCTCCAAGATCCAATTAGCCAGGTGCAGGAGTGAATGCCTGTGGTCCTAGATACTGAGGAGGCTGAGGTGGAAGGATTGCTTCAGCTCAAGAGATAGAGGCTGCAGTGAGCTATGATCATGCCACTGCACTCCAGCTTGGGTGAGAGAGTGAGACCCTGTCTCTAATCCATACCTTCCATGAATCCCTGATGACATTTTGTTTTAAAAACGTGCATACATGTGCCTGGAAAATGTCCTAGAAGGCGCTTTCTGTTGTCCACATTTCTTGAAAGGCAGACCTGAGCAGTGGTTTAAGAGCATGGGCCTCAGGGTCAGAAAAAACTGCATATACCCCAGCCACCCTCACCTGGTGTGTAATTAGAAAAAAATGAGATTAAACAAATTAAAGATGACCATTATTTTTTGCCATTGGATTGGCCCAGGCTAAATACAAAATGTGGCAAGGATGTGTGGAGAAGGACACCGTTGAGGCCATTGGTGTAATCTGTGTATGGCAATGGTCCCGCCCCCCGCCCCCCACCCCTGCACAGTCACAGCCACCTGCTCTGTCCTTCTGGATGCTGCTTGGATCCACAGCTCCCCTCCCCCAGCCCCAGTGTCTTGGCCATCGATTCGGGCTCTGCCTGGCCCATCTGCCCTCTCAGTGATTGAGGCAGCAGTGATGGTGAAAGGAGATTAGCAAAGGGCAAGTTACAGAACCTTCTTGAGCTCCAGTTTCCTCAAATGTTAAACAGGGATGCTCATAATAGCACCTTTTCATGTGGTCTTTGGAGGAGTAACTGAATAATGCAGGTGAGCAGCTTAGCCCGATAGTCTGCTTTTCTGCAGAAGAGTGGCAGCTACCATGAACAAGCTGGCTGCTTCTTTCTGTCAGCTTCCATGACAGCTTTAAGCTGGGGACTGGCCCAGACACAATGGTCATTACAGGATGACTGGAAGACTATGGTAATGAAGGCTGCAGGGTAAGAAGTGTGAGCTGCCATTTCAGAGACAGGGAAACTGAGGCACATAGAGTAAAGGGAAGGACTTGCCTGGCAAGCAGTCTGAGGACCCTGCCCAATCTGGCTGTGAATTTCTCAGGGCCCTGGGGTGCAGGATGAACTTGGCCAGCAGTGGCCTTGATCCCTGACTATTATGGGCAAGAGGGGAGAATGCCACCTGTGAAACCAGGACAGATTCCCTAGACTGCTTCCCTGGGGTAGGGAGCTCTGGAGCCAGACACAGCCAGGTCAAATCCCAGAGGTACCAGGCACAGCTGTGTGATGTCAGGCAACCCTGCTTAACTCTGATCCTCACCATCTGCTTTGCCAATGGGTTCTTCATGTCATGATACCTGGAGTGTTTTATGCCAATCACACTTTCCTTCGTTTTGACTCAAGAAAGACCAGTCTCCGTCATCCCTAGTTACCACTGTCAAGCTCTGCAGAGAAAACAATTGCCTGAGCCTCTGTTGAGATGGAAAACCCATGGGGAATTGTCTACGGGTCTGAGACACAAAGGCTTTCTCTGTAGGTGTGTGAAGAAGGAACTTAGGGAGGAAGGTAAAGAAGGGGGAAGGAGGAATGGCCACATACTCCAAATACCCAGGACCTATCTAGAGTCACCTCCTCCTCACCAGCCTGGCCACAGAATCCAAGATGCAAAAGGCCATTCCATGGAGAGGATCTCTCCCTCTGCACCTGTCCTAAGCCACAGACGCAATCACTGAGAGTACGGGCTTATCTATCCTTCCAGAAATATTTTCTGCATATATAAACAAACAGACATTTCTCCCTATCCTTGTTTTCACACACAGGAGTGTGCTGCACACGCTCTACTGCACACTGTTCCACACCCTGCATTTTTACTTAACGGTTTACTTTGGCTCTCGTTGCATGTCAGCTCCTGAAAAGGTTGCCTCATTCTTCCTCACGTCTGTGCCAGGATGTATGACTTGTTTAACCAGTCTCCTCTCCGAGGATATTTACGTTGTATCTGATCTTCTATTCTTACAAACTGCTCCAACCCCGGCCGGGCGAGGTGGCTCACGCCTGTAATCCCAGCACTTTGGGAGTCTGAGGAGGGCGGATCACGAGGTCAGGAGATTGAGACCATCCTGGCTAACACAGTGAAACCTCATCTGTACTAAAAATGCAAAAAAATGCAAAAAATTAGCCGGGAGCGGCAGCGGGAGCCTGTAGTCCCAGCTACTTGGGAGGCTGAGGCAGGAGAATGGCGTGAACCCGGGAGGTGGAGCTTGCAGTGAGCCAAGATTGCGCCATTGCACTCCAGCCTGGGCGACTGAGTGAGACTCCGTCTCAAAAAAAACAAAAAACAAACAAACAAAAAACTGCTCCAACCCCTATCCTTATGCACATTGTAAACCCATGCCAGAATATCTGCCAAGTAAATTCCTAGAAATGGAATGGCAAGGCCAGTTGCAGTGGCTCACACCTATAATCCCAGTGCTTTGAGAGGCCTGGGTGGGAGGATTGCTTGAAGCCAGGAGTTCAAGACCAGCCTGGGCAACATAGCAAGACTTCATCTCTATTAAAAAAATTAAAAATTAGCCAGGCATGGTAGCACATGCCTGTGGTCCTAGCTACTCAGGAGGCTGAGGCAGGAGGATTGCTTCAGCCCAGGAGGTAGAGGATTGAACTATGATGGCACCATTGCACTCCAGCCTGGGTGACAGAGCAAGACCCTGTCTCTAAAAAAAAAGAAAAAAGAAAAAAGAAACGGGATGGCTGGATCTCACAGGGCAGGGTCATCTGCCATACTGGTAAATATTGTCTACTGCCCCCTATGGAGGTTGTACTCAATTTGTATTCCCTGCTGCAATTAATATTGGATTTTAATACAGACACAAGAGAGCTGTGAGTTTGCAGCGGAAAACAGAGGCAGAATGGCAAGGGGAGAGAGAGCCCTGGATTTGGGGTCACGGAACTGGAATGCTGTTTTGATAATAATGATGATAATGAGAACAACAGCAACCATGACTGCAGGGGAGCTCCTGCATACCGTGAGCTAGGCACCCAATATGAGAGGAATTACCTCCATGTAACATGTAACAGTGGCTCTGAGAGGTTGAGTAATTTGCCCATAGCCACACAGTTTTTCTTTTTTTTTTTTTTTTGATACGGAGTCTGGCTCTGTGGCCCAGGCTGGAGTGCAGTGGCACGATCTCGGCTCACTGCAAGTTCTGCCTCCCAGGTTCACGCCATTCTCCTGCCTCAGCCTCCCGAGTAGCTGGGACTACAGGTGCCTGCCACCGCGCCCGGCTAATTTTTTTTAATTTTTTAGTAGAGACGGGGTTTCACTGTGTTAGCCAGGATGGTCTCGATCTCCTGACCTCGTGTTCCACCTGCCTTGGCCTCCCAGAGTGCTGGGATTACAGGCGTGAGCCACCGCGCCCAGCCAAGCCACACAGTTTAATGACAGAATCAGAATGAAGGACTCACATAGAGGACTGTCTGGCTGCAAAATCCTAGCCCTTATAACCTCCAGGCCACATTGCTGCCCAGTGTCACCGTCAACTTGCTACCCCGCCTTGGGCAGTCAATGGCCAGCCTCCCAGCTCCTCAAGGTAAATCTGGCAATGGACAGACCTCCTCAATTCACCTGCTTTACTTCCAGGCATGAGTGTAGAGTGGGGAGAGCTGATGTGGCTGCAGTGCCAGGAGAGCACTGCAGACATGATGACTCTGTACCTTAGGGAAGGTGGCGATGACACGGTCGCGGCTCACGGGGGGCCCCAAAGGTATCAGGGAGGACCTCATTCTTCCAGAGTCCTGTGGACCCAACCAGGAGAAAAACAGTTAAGGAGCTGTGCAAATACCTGGGGACTCACCCATGAGTTTTCACGTAACTTTTCATTAGATCCAGGCTGGGTGCAGTGGCTCATGCCTGTAATCCCAGCACTTTGGGAGGCCAAGGTGGGAGGATCACTTGGGCCCAGGAGGTTGAGACCAGCCTGGGCAACAAAGTGAGACCTCAGTCTCTAAAAAAAAAAAAAAAAAAATAGCAGGGCATGGTAGCCTGTGCCTGCAGTCACAGCTACTTGGGAGGAAGGTGGGAGGAATGCTTGAGCCTAGGAAGTCAAGGCTGCAATGAACTGTTAAGGTGCCACTGCACTCCAGCCTGGGTGATAGAGTAAGACTTTGTCTCAAGAATAATAAATAAAACCAGATCCAGGCCTCCCTCTCCATCAGGAATACGGGGCAGAGGCCATTTCTCTCAATCTGCATACAGCAGGCAGCATGGTATGGGGGAACCAGGTCTGCCCCACCCTGCCTGGGAGTCAGAAGACCTGGGTCTCCCCTTGACAGGTGTCTACCAAGGAGGAGCTCCCCTCTGAGCTTACCTTACTGGGCTGTGAGGCATGACACAGCTCAGGCAGTGGAAGTAGAGTCGGGAGGGGTCTCCTGCTCCTAGTCTGCAAAGGATGAAGGCTCTAGGTGGGCCTGGGGACCCTAACTTTCAGCCAACTAGGCCTTTTCCCTGAAAGCCCTCACTTCAGCAGGCCTCTGACTCTTCCAGCCTCAACAGCCCTCTGTCTCCTTTCTCTCTCCGGGCTCCTCTCCCGGTTGTGCTTGGGTGTCCTTGGCGGAGTCCGGTTGTCCTCCCGCATCTGACCTGGCTCTCCTCCACGACCAGCTCGGGCCTGGCCCAGAGTTTGCGCTCCGGAAATGAGGACGCCCCTGGGCCGTAGGCTGATTTCAAGTTATAAGGGCGGGAAGTGGGCGCGGACGCGGTGCCCTCGCGGCCCTGGCCACGGGATGTGCCAGCACGGGCGTGGGTGACTGGGAGGGTCGGACAGAGTGGGCGAGCGGACTCACCACCCGTGGCTGCGAAAGCTGGGGCTCGCCGCGGCCTAGTCCGCCAGAGTCAGCGGCAGTGAACACCATGGCAACGAGAGCCGCGCGGGACCGGCGGGCTACGAGAATCGCCGACGTCGTGGGCGGGGTCTGCGTTGGACTGACAGCGGCGCGTCCAAGCATCCAGCTTGCACCAGCGATCACCATAGCAACGAGAGCCGGCCTGGAGTCTGGGCGGGGCTTGCAGCAGGGAGACTCCCGGACACCCTGGAGAGCCAGAGATCACCACGACAACAAGGGCGGTGCTGGATGGGTGGGCGGGGGGCGGGGCCGTGGAGGCCCGGGGGCGGAGCCTGGGCTCTGGCTGGCGCTGACAGTGGAGAGATTTGCGCCGGTTCTGGTGATCACCTCGGCTGGGAGGGGTGGGGCGGTCATGGCATAAGAGCTCCTGATGTAGTATTGATGTTTAATTGGAGTCAAGCACCCTGCAGCTGCAAGAGATGGACTTGCCTACCATCTACTGACCTTAGTCTGCATAGATCTGAATCCAGTGTTGTCTGAATATTATATGCCTGGCTTCTAAAGCCCACGGTACCAAATTAATTTCCTTAATAAAAAGCTGACCTGAGTCAGTGATTCCCTCTGAACTAGTTTCGGTTTGGAAAGTTAGCTGTTTTGGGCTAGATGGCCTCTCGTGGCCCTTATAAAACCGCGGAACCAGCTTCTAAGTCCAGAGTTCAGTTTCAGAACATACTTACTCCAGCTCCTTAACTTTTCTGCATCACAATATGGAATCCTTGGTAAACAGATTTAACTCAATCATCTTCAATTCAAAGCTAAGTGTGCTGGAGGCTGATGTTCGATGTATTTTTTTTTTTTTAAGAGATGGAGTCTTGCTATGTTGCCCAGGCTGGACTCAAACTCTTGAGGCTCAAGGAATCCTCCCGCCTCAGCCTCCCCAGTCCTTGGGACTACAGTCAAGGGCCACCACACCTGGCTCTGTTTAATGTCTTTTAGTGAGATTCACTGCTAAGGTTGAGGCTTAGGGGGTGAACTTAGGTGAGTTGTTCCACCTTCCACACCTCAGTTTACTCAACTATAAAATAAACGCAACTGTCTATTTCAACGGATCACATGAGATGGTAAAAGTGCTTTTATATTGTAAAGCTTAATTCAAGTCCATTAATCATTCATTCACGTACTGAAAGCTTCTTGGTATATGCCCAGCACTGGGGAGACAAGGAAACAGAACAGACATGGTGTCCACCCTCAGGGAAATTGGAGTCCGCTGCGGGAAGCAAAGAATTAAATAGAGAATTAGGGGGAGTGTGCCAATGGGATTTATGAGAAGGGAAGGTTAAGCTGTGGGATCACTTACTAATTTGGATTTGGGGATTTGACAAGAGCTAGAGATCACCTTGAACCCCTCCTTTAGCTTTTTTTTTTTTTTTTTTTGGAGATGGAGTCTCACTCTGTCACGCAGGCTAGAGTGCAGTGGCGTGATCTTGGCTCACTGCAATCTCCGCCTCCCGGCTCAAGCGATTCTCTTGCCTCAGCCTCCCGAGTAACTGGGACCACAGGTGCGCACCAACCATGCTTGGCTAATTTTTTAATTTTTTTAGTAGAGACAGGGTTTTGCCATGTGTGCCAGGCTGGTTTCCAACTCCCGGCCTCATGTGATCCGCCCACCTTGGCTTCCCAAGCTGTTGGGATTACAGGCGTAAGCCACCGCACCTGGCCCCCTCCTCCTTTAGCTCTTAAGTGGGCTCTTTGCTTAGATCTAGAAACCAAATTGACACTAGGCAGATTAGCAAGAGAAAAGCATACAAATGTTATTAGTTTTACATGCACATGGGGATCTTTACCAGAGTGAAGTCTGGAGAAGTGGCCAAAGCAAGATGCTTTTATACTTTTTAGACAAAGGATGACAAATTTGCGAAGAAATGGCAGGACAAAGGGGATCTGGCTAGGGGCAGTAAATTCTAGGGGATTCACTAGGAGATAATATGAGGGGCATAAACCTAGTGGAAGACAGGGTTAAGTATATTTATTCAGGTCCATTGCAGTCCCCAATTTTTAGTCTCAGCTGATAAGGGCTATTTTCTTGCCCTGGTACAGCGAGGGTACCACTCCTAGAGGAATCTTTATGGCTTGCTGAACGCAGAAAGAAGCATATCTGTTTGCCTTTTCTTGTATCTTTTTTAAAAATTATATTTATTGATTGATTGATTTTAGAGTTGAGGTCTCACTCTGTCACCCAGGCTGGGGTGCAGTAGTGTGATCGTATCTCACTGTAACCTCAAACTCTTTGGTTCAGGCAATTCTCCCCCTTCAGCCTCCCAAAGTGCTGGGATTACAGGTATGAGCCACTGCACCTGGCCCAGCTAGCCCTTTCTGAGGCTACTATTTTTCCAATGTTGTCAACTCAAAATGGTCAATATACCAATCCAGCATATTTTGGGATGGCGCATACTTCACTCCTTCAGGGAGAAGGAAGTTTTCATGGAAGAAGTGTTCACCAAGTTGCATCCTGAAGGACAAAGAGGTAATAATTAGTGTTACAGGGCGCTCAGGTTTCAGGAGCGGGGTGGTATTTGAGGGATTAAGAGAGAGTCTAGCATGGCTGGAGGAGGCCATCACCCAGGGACTTCAGCACTAGGCTAGGAGTTTGGACTCAGCCCTGAGACCAGTGGGGAGCCATGGAGGGTTTTATGCAGGTGGTGGCTGGGTCTGGCTTGCTTTTGAGAACAGCTACACTGGCCAGCAGTGTGTTGGGTCCACTGCAGGGGCTAACCTTTGTCATTACCAGGAGGTCAGCCTGCAGAGCAAGGGGCATGGGCAGGGCTAGGCGGTACAGAGATCAGGCCTGTGTAATTTGGGGGAAACTGGCTGAGCGCAGCGGCTCACGCCTGTAATCCTAGCATTTTGGGAGGCCGAGGCGGGTGGATCGCCTGAGGTCAGGAGTTCGAGACCAGCCTGGCCAATATGGCGAAACCCTGTCTCTACAAAAAATACAAAAATTAGTGTGGTGGCGGGCACCTATAATTCCAGCTACTTGGGAGGCTTAGGCAGGAGAATCACTTGCACCCGGGTTGGGGGAGTGCGTGGCGCGGAGTGGAGTGGAGGTTGCAGTCAAGATCGTGCCACTGCACTCCAGCCTGGGCGAAAGAGCGAAACTCCAAAAAAAAAAAAAAAAAAAAAAATTTGGAGAAACGGCTGAACTGCTCTGAGGTTCTTGTCCCTAAACTAGATGTTGCCATCTTATGAATTTACTCTGAGGATCGGATCAGAGGCATGCAAAGTACCCAGTACAGAGAAGGGCGTAAATAAGTCACTTCCCTTCCCTTCTGTACTTTGAAGAAAGCTGAGCTGCCTTTGGTCCCCGCAGCAACCCTGTAAATGATCCCGCTTTGCAGCCGGCCGCAGCCTTGGGCTGTTTGCGCCTGCGCAGTGGGCGCTGAGTCTGTAGACAGCTGCGCTGGGGACGCTACCGGAGTCGCCTGGCAACGATGTCGCCTGGCAACTGAATAGGTTGGCCACTGGCACGCGCTACTGGAAGCAGAAAGGGCTGCGGAGGCAGGTGAGGCGACGGCGGTGGGCTAGGGGCCCGGGGACGGGAAGCCCAGTGACCCACCCAGTCCCATTCACACAGGGCCCTGTCCCCACACTCAAAATCACGCACTTTCGTCTCCGGCCGGACTCTCCCAGCCCACGCCCCTTAGAAGAGGGCAGGCCTCTGTGTCTCCAGCGCCCACCGTTCCTGCGAGGGGAGCTCAACTCAAACATGGCCACGTCCCTCCCAGCCCGGCCCCCACTTCTACTGTTGTCATCTGGTGTCCCGCGTGAGCATCTGGCTTACCTTTTACTGGAGTAGATTCCTACAGGCCTGGGGCCTGTCCATTCTACTAACCATGATAACAACCATAGCCACTGCATCTCCAGCCCTGGGCGACCAGAGCGAGACTCTGTCTCCAAAAATAAATAAATAAATAAAAATAAAAACAAAATTTAAAAAAAAAAGGTGATTTATGGCCAGGCGGGGGGCTCACGCCTGTAATCCCACACTTTAGGAGGCCCGAGGTGGGCCGGATCACAAGGTCAAGAGATCGACGACCATCCTGGTCAACATGGTGAGAACCTGTCCTCTACTAAAAACACAAAAATTAGCTGGGCGTCGCTTGGCATGTGCCGTGTAGTCCCCAGGTTACTCCAAGAGGCTGAGCCAGGAGGAATCACTTTGACCCCGGGAGGGGGAGGTTCCCCCAGTGAGGCCAAGATCGCTACCAGCTAGCACTCCCAGCCTGGCAACAAAGCAATGACTCCGGTCTCAAAAAAAAAAAAAAAACTGGCTGATTTACTTTTATTACAGACACACACACATCACCACACACACTTTCAGCAACTATGCGGCAGTGGTAGGTTAGAGTTGAGAGGAACTGGCTTCCAGGATCAGGCCATAGGTGACCCTTGGCAAGGTTTCTTCCTCTATCTTGTGTCCTTTCTGCGAGCTTCAAGGGGGAGATGATAACAGTATCCTCCTTCCCTGCCTGCCCGAATTGTCATGTTAACGCAAATACACCCTGAAGCCCTGGCTACCAGGGCTTCAGCATATGTTGGCTTGCGTTATG